GATGGGGTATCTGTTGTTCTCCCGGAAGAAGGGACGTGGACCGACCTAGAACCAGCCTATGAAACCGTGATGCTGGACAAGAAGGACGCGTTCCTTTGGATAGAGACAATCTGGACCACGGTCAGCCTGACAAGACTCTCACACAGCTTGATGGACCTAGAATTCCGGGGAACGGTGGAGGCCCGAGGGTGGATCTACCTGTCTCAAGAAATGGAAAACGCAGTGGTAGTGGGACTAGTATTGGGCACGACACCGGATCAGTTGTTTAGGCAAGCGGAACGGGAGGTGGTGTGGGCTGCATGTCAGCGGGCAGAAATGGAGATGGAGAGGATGGAGGTGCGAGTGGAACTCGGGGACCGGAAAAATATGAGATGCCCCCTCAGGACAATGAGATGCGTGCTACCCCCGTTTCTGGTGGATGCAATCTTTGGGACCAGGGGTAGATTGGAGCGGATATGCCGGTCAATGACGCACCTGAGGCTGTACCAAGGTGCTAGGCAGAACTTCTTTAAATTATCGGTGGAAGCAGGGTAGTTCGAAGGAAACTGGGCGGAAGAGTTGGCTGAGGTGCTAAACCTCCTTTGCGCGGACGAAATCTTTGTTCCCAACCCGGTGCATTGGCAGATAGTTTACCGAAACGTGGCAGCGGGGGAAACCTTCTTGGAAGGGGTGAAAGAGATGTTCCTAGACGAGGAGGAGGGTTTCAGTGATGAGGAGGACGGGGACGAGATAGAGGACTGGGACTTCTGAGGAGGGCTTACCCAGGGAAAACAGGTTGTCGGCTATGTGCAGGTAGGGAACGATGGCTCGGGAACTCGAATTGTGGGACTGCACATGGGAACCAAGACGAATCGGAAGGGGAGTTGAGATGTCAATACCGCCGAGTAATGAATGGAAAGGGACCACATGTGATTGGCGGGGGTATGAAATTGTGTCGGAACTATTATACCTTTGGATAGAGCGTATCTGGAATCCGTTGAGGGAAGAGGAAGGATGGGAGGAGATTGCGGAAGGAAGGGTGGAATCAGCTGGGACGATTGTTCTCTCGGAACAGGGATGGCACCTGTTCTGCACGACGCTCGCTGCGGGGCAGAACCCGATGTGGCTTTTAGGGGACGCTGAGGCAAGGGCTCGGCAGGCGGGGGAAAGTTTTGCTAATAAAGGGTGGGATACGGTCAGCAGTAGAGTCGCGATGGGAGGATGGAAGGAATTTAAACCGCCCGGCGCTCGAATCAAGACCTGGGTACCCGAATTCGTGGCAGACTGGTTTGGGGGTTTTGATCATGTAACAGAGGCAGTCGGCACAATGGAGCGAATGCATGTGAATTGCACTTGGCTGGCAGGGGAATTCTATAGGACATCCTTGAAATACGGGCCCTTCCATGGCGATAGAGCCCGGGAGGTCCTTACCATTTTGGATATCGAAAGGAATGACCGGCAGGAGGTGGCCCCGGAAACTAGGGAGGCTATAATCCGCCGTGAGGTAGCTGCAACACCTTGCTATGTGGATGATGTGTTCAAACTGTTCGAAGTACTGTGGTTCGACTAAGCGCAGGGAAGCCGTGGGGCCATGCAAATTGTGACGCACGTGCGGAAGGCACGTGTGGAGATGGTGAGAGAGAGAGAGAGAGAGAGGAGATGGACACACACGAGAAGCAGCCGCCGAGTGAAGGTCCAGTCCGGCTCAATGAATGAACGAACCACTGAATGAATCAACCTCCCGCCTTGGGCCTAGGCCGAAGTGATATACCGGCCTAGGTCCAGGTATGGGAAAACCTGGTACCGGACCAGGGTCAGGCCGACGGCCTGAAACTGGTCCGGCCTCACTGCCAGGCCGTAGGGGTACCACTACACGATCCTCGGACCTGTGAATGGATCAAGCGATACATCAAACACGCTATCCGCTGAAATAGCGGAAACCCAAAAGGAACGGCAAAAGGACCAATCCTAAATGCAGAGCAGGCTCCATGCATGAAAAGGGATGCAATGCAGACTAAGCCTCAAGCCTAATCTATACCATAATGTCTGGTCTGTGTCGACCCAAAAAGTAG